TTTAAAATGAAAGACCAATTTTCTTCCTGTTTTGAAGTTTACAATTCATGAAGGGAAGCTCTGTGAAGAGAATGCATTCAAGAGCTATTGTTAGACTGACATTTTCACTGATCAAAAAAATCAATTCAGCGAGGAAATTTAACTGATTTGATATTTCAATCTCTATTGAGCCAGAATTCCTGTATGTACATTTGGTTTCTCTGTGGCAATACAGTAATGGCTCTCATTAATATTTTGTCTGGTTTCATCTGGAAAGTCAGACTCGTTCTGCTACTTCCCCTTACAACTCTGAGTCGGAGGTCATTTCATGGCAAATTTAGAGCCCAGTAGATTTTCTATGAAATCCTGCAGGGATTGAGCTGAAAGGTGAGAAGACACCATTTAAGTGTAAGAAAACATTCTCCGTCACTTAAGGCATATTTAAAGTCGTGAGATATGATTTTTTTTTCAATCTTTGCGTGTTTTATTTGTATATATAAGCATGAAATACCTTCATTTATTACAGAATGATGTTCCAATTCTGAGGTTATTTCTACTACCAGGAATGTCCTTATTTTTAATACCTGTTCTTGCCTGGGAATAGCCTGACAGAAGTTACCATCTGCTTCCAGTTTGCATACAAAATCCCAATTAGCTAAAGTTCATATATGTTTTGCAAGGCAATTGTGCATACTTTTTTCAGAAATAAGAAAGTATTTGTCAGATAGCATCTGAATGTCCTCATAACCACAGCCGTCTTAGCTTGACTTTGTCTGCCCTCTAACATGCTCAAATAAAAGATCATCAATTTGGCTGATGAAAGATTGCAGCCTTTGATTACCACTGCTATGAAGTACCCTGTTTCCCCTTGATTACAAACACACAGAGTCAAATTTAACAAAGAAGCCTGATTTTTAACTCCATAGGGAGAATGGATCTTTAGCATTTCTCAGATTTGCCAGTGCTCTGAAGTACAGCAGCTACGTGCCATTTTCTGTGTAAGCAACTTGAGTTTCTTATAGAAATAACCTCGGTATGGATTTGTCAAACATTTTTGGTGCGGCAACAGTATAAAATGATCCTAATCAGAATTATCAGCACACATTATTAACTTCAAAGTCACGCTCTCAATATGAATATTCAGGTTTTCTTGTTAAATACATAGATATTAAAACCCTGTTGTGCGTCAGAAAAATTATCGTATCCTTCCTTATTGTACACAGGTTTCAGAAACAAGACAGAGAGATGATGGCTCCTCTCTTCTCCCACTGAAATCAATGACATTACCAGGTAAGTTAACTGTTAAATAGAGGTCAATGTTGAGTATTTTGAAAATCCCATATTCCAACTAGTTAACTTCCTATGCTCAACATTTTACATTAAATTAAATGAACCTTATTTAGTTTTGATGTACTTTTCACAATAAGTGTGTGCACAGCTGCCCAGGCTTGAGCAACAGAAAAGAAATATTAGGGTGCCTGAAGAGAACTTAGAACCACAAGATTTAACATTTGGACAGCAACGCTATCATCACATCTTTCAAGTAAATCTAATTATTCAAAAGTACTAAATGATTTTCTGTACTCATTAGTTCCTACCGTGAAACACAAAGCTGGGACAACTTAGAGCATTATTCTGTTTCCTTTACAGAAAGTATCTTTTCCCGATGAAAAGATATACAAAAGATTGATTTTGTAACAGTAAAATAAAAATCACTTTAAAATCAAATGCTAATACTGAGCACTGCCATTGCTTAAGTGATGCCAGCAGCCTCAGACTGGTGTCCTGTCTGAAGAAGGAAAATGGGTTCTTTTTAAAGATGGCATTCTAGATTTTCCATCTTGCTGTTTGAATGCTCTTGCACTGCTGCAACTGGTTAGCACTGCACATCTGGCTGAATTGTCTCACACTCGTATTTTCCCTAAACCATTGTGTATGTGTGTGATGGGTTTTTTAAAAAATACTGTATGCTGACTGAAACAATGCCCTATTGCAGACTGCTACACACAATAATTAGAGAGCATATTTTTTCCTGATTTTGTTTCCAATGTCAAAATGTGCTATTTTTAAATTAAGCCACCATGAAATTCTAAGTATGTTTTTACAATATTTTTCGTGTTGGGGCTTGGTTTTTTCAGGCCTCTTAATCTTCTAGGCCCAGACTTCACACTGGAAGTGTTATCTCATAAAATCTCTAAATTTCAACAACTTTTACTCTGCAGCTGCTATTTAAAACTTACATTTATCAGGAAAGAGAGCACATAACTCAAATGTTCTAATAAAAATAGTTTCATAGAAGCAAAACAGATAAATGTTCCATTCAGTAAAAGGTCAATTTGTCATACTTTTGGCTACAGAAGCACTACCATTCAGCCAAATTTGATTCCAAAGCCAAACGTTCTACGTCCTGCTGCTGCGGACCGTAGTGTTAAGATTTTGCAAAGTTCATCAGACTAATGAGGGGCAAAAAGCCAATCTTTTCTCATAAAATTACTGAGACAGTACACCCCAATGGCCAGATGTTGTTACTTATAAATACTATTATTTACAACTTTTGAAAATGTAAGTATCTGAAAATAAATTGAGGGGCAGAGGTAAAGTGATTATTTCTTCCATAAAAATAAGCTAACAAATACCCAGAGCCCTAAAAATGCAAGGTCCTGGTTTGGTTTCTGGACTGCTCTCAGTTCTGATTAGCTAAGAAGTCCGCTGCCATGAGGGAGCTCCCAGCCAATACACAGACAGCATTCCTGGATCCTGCACGGGTTGCATTTGACACCGGCACAGGACGCATGAGGACCCGCAGAAATCACCAGAGCACTTTCTATGCTTCTGAAGGCCGACAGGCCGCGGCTGCACCAATTTGTGCTCCCACAAGCACTGCCTTGTACAGTGCAGCCATGAACATAGGACGTTCCATATAAACATGCGGAAGGACTTCTTGACAGTAAGGGTGATGGAGCACTGGAACAGGCTGCACAGAGAAGTGGTGGAGTCTCCTTCTGTGTCTATCTAAGCACACAAAACCTTGGATACATTCTTGACTGCTCCTGTGTTGACTACTGGGAATCCTCATCTGTAGATGAGTTGCTCTCTTTTTCATCACAGGTGCTAAATATTTGGCTGCAGACAGCAGGAGTTCCTGGCAAAAATGTGGGATTGTGTCTCTTGTGTATGCACAATTATGTTTGAGACACATTAACTTTTAGCACCATTTTCAACCAGCAAGCAAGAGAAATGTTGGGACACATGAGGACAAGGAAAGACATTAAGTGTAGTCCCCGTCTTCCCTTTGATCCACTGCAAAAATGCTGAAGAGAGTTTTGCACCTTTTTTTAGAACAAGTCTGACATAATTCCACTGATTACTCACAGGCCTTGGGTAAATTCAGCTCAAGATACACACTGTATCATTTATTCTCTGAAGAAAGCTCTGCAGTATTTCTTGGAATAATGAAACCTGGCTTCTGGTTTTCCACTTACAGATCTCTATTACATAGTAAAAGTTGGGCTTTCTAACCTCTGTCAGTTTTATGGACTTTGCAGATACCCAGTTTCTCTCTGAACAGATGCTCTCCAGTGACTTTGATCAGGAGTTCCCAAGCTTAGCTCATTTGGTTACCAGCACCAGAGATGCTGCTGACCTGTGATATGAGCACCTATGCAAAAGCAGAAGCTTCTTGGCAGGCCAGGTACACATGTATAAAAGAAGCACATCTGTCACCTCCAACCTATTCCTGTAAACTCTCACCCATCAAATTGGGATCCCCAGTTGCATACCTTCAAATACCATTGCACTGTGTCTCACCTTACAAACTACAGCCTCTGCTAAACATGTAATCCCTTACTTACCTTTTGACTATACATAGCACCAACACAAAGCAAGGTGACAGTGACTGTGGCTGCATCCTGCTTCTTGGAAAGCCACCCCCTCTTATGAACTCTGCTTCATGCTGCCTTAGCCCTACTTGATACCTTCCTGAAGCACCCACGTTGAGCTGTGCAATGTGAGTTGGAGAACTTAATGCTGAGCAGATTATTGAAACTACAACCACACTGAGAAGGCAGCCAGAACTGATCAGAAAAAAACTTTCTGTGTGGAACTGTTTACCTTATGGCTTCTAGAAGTGCTTGTATACAAGCATAGTTAACAGCTGCCATCACCGTGTACCACGGTGTCTTCTTGAGTTGTCTTCGTAACATAGTTTGGGAATTTCTGACTTACTTAGACAATAGGCAAAAATATGCATAACAGTCATATTTAGATCTGTTCTTTTCCTGATGATGTTCTAATTTAAGATCCTAGTTTCACTTAACCAGACAATTTACTGGAGAGAACTTCATTCCCATACAGCACTTTCAAGAACCATGACTCCTGCAGAAATTCTTATGACATGAGCCAAATTCTGCTAGCACTTGTATTGGTAACAGGTCACATACTTGGGGTTTGTTTTTAGACTAATGTTTGTTTAAAAAAGTGAGGAATACATTTTGCATTATAAGCATGTTCATTCCAAAAAAACTGTGAAAAGAATAAGGAGAATCAGATGGAAGAATTTTACCTCTACTTTGTGCTGATTATATAATTTATCAAAAAAAAAACCACCAAAAAACTGTTTCACAGGCCTCCAACAGATGCTCTGCTGTTAGAGCCATGAAAAGTCATTCAGGGAGAGGGTAAAGGCCTCGGGGGTGTGGTCCACATCCTTTAGCACATATATCCTCAGTCCTGGCCTGCAGATAGCACATCTGGTCCAGGCATGGACCTGATGGTTGTCCAAAACACAGGCTTACAATAATGCTCCTTTTTCAGCTTTAATGTAAGCCTGTTTTCTTGCCAAACTCAAATCCTGCCAAAATTTGGCCAAAGATATTTGCTCAATTGTGCAATATCTTAAGTTTATATCCAACAACTCTTTGCAAAAACAATTGCATCGTGTTTTTAATGTTTACAGGCATTAACAATATTTAATTTTAAGTAGAATTTTACTGCTGACACTCTTGTGTTTTACAGTAAATTACCTTGGAGAGGGTTTTTCCATTAGCTTTTAGGGTCACGAGTCCTGCACAGCACACCAAAGCACTGGAGCTAGAAAGACCAGAACTTGGAGGGATGGTTCCATCTAGCAGACAATTCATTCCAGTTGGGTTATTAAGACCAAAATGTTCCTAACAATGAAAAAATAAACAATCTCAGTTTCAAGTACAGACAGGCTCAGGCTTGCAATTATCTGATACTTAGAAAGAGAATCTTTCTGTTAAGTTGCTGGAACCAAGGACCTGCTTCTGGTATCTTCAAAATAAAGCAAAATTTTCATTCTATTCTTCAAGAACAAAGCCAATGGTAGGGCTTCAGCCAAAGGTATGTCTGCAATTCCTGTACACAAACATATATGGGCTGACAGAACTGTACCCCGAGCAGAATTCAGGGTGGGCTAAATGTCCAAGAATTTACCGAGCTTCGTGGGTGGGTTTTACAGCACTGGCTCAGCTCTAAGCTGTCGTGGTGACAGTACCAGAGGTTACCTCTACTTTTGTCCTTAGCTCCTCACTTTATGCATCCCGAAGTGCGTAAAGTCCACATCATGCCTTACTTCTAATGCAGACACGTGGTATTAGAGCCACGTCATGCTGATCAGGAAGTAGTAGCCATTTATCTGAGGTCAAAGCCAAATACTCCTATCTCCTGGGCTACCCATGGCACTGGCACTGAGAAAACCACAGTGGTACTGGAAAGACGTTATGCTTTGGGAGGAACCAGCAGTGATAGTATCTGTCATGCTATTTCTAGAATAAATAGTGTAACATTTTTACATATATGAGAAGTTATCAGAGATGATACACTTAACAGAGAAGTCATGAGTCCTGTGCACATATTTTTTAATTACTCTTTAGTTACTTTTTTTTCAAATTTGCCATAACTCTAAAATTTTACTCGTTACTTTGAAGAAAACACGCAAAATACATACAAAAAATCTTCAAATATATATAGAGGATATATGAATAGCTACATTCTGATATAGATTGATATGTTGATAAACTATTTTATAATAACCAGAAAAATACTGTCAATGATCAGAGAAATGGCTGTTTCTATACAGAAATGCCCACCTTCAAAAGATTTCTACTTTTCCTAACCATAAATACCAAAGGTAGAGATCAGAAAACACAAAGCACCTCCTTTAATGTTTTCTGTTATCGCTTCAGATTAAAATATCCCTTTCTACAAATAGAAGGGAATTCATACCTGAAATACTACTTCTGCCCTTCATGAAGAACACTAGACAGGCTTGTTCAAAAACAGACAATGCTTGAGTAACCAGAAACTGATCCACAGTTTCTGGACTGTCTTGAATGTGAATCAAGCTTGCAAACTTATCACGCGATGTTTAAATAGAAAATGTACTTCAGTCTCAAAAATGAAAATGGACTTTGCCAAGTTCTGCAATAGTTCTGTCCCAAAAGGATAGCATGTTCAACTTAATATAAACAGATTATCCCGCTGGACCCTCTAAATACTTGTATTTCAGTGTTTCTTAAGTCCGTAACATTTGTGCTTATTTTCTGCCAGTACTAGAGACTGAAAACCTGCTTTGCAAATTAACCTTCAAGTGTAAAAGTTTGTCCTTAGGAAACAAATCTCAGTAGCAGGCTGCAAAACAAGTCAATTCGTCAAGCTAGCCTTAATACATGAAAAGATACACTGCAAAGAAACTTAATCTGTATCTTTACTTCTAGAGTCAATGCAATTTAAATGCATATTACTGAGCTATACAAAATTGAGAATACTCATGTTACTGCAAACATAGGTCTTTTTTTTTTATGGGGCGTAGGGGCATGCTAAACATGGGGGGGGGGAGGGGTCTACTTAGGAGCTGTGGATAATAATAAAGTGATTTGGTCCAAATATCTTCTTTGGAAGATATAAGTGCCAGGTCTGATGCAGGCTTTCTTGGCTGTTTGCAATGCTTATCTATGGACCATTCTGTGGGGTAACTTAGATGGCCTACCCAGAGGAAAGTTTCAAAAGCACATTTTTCCATAATTTGAGCTGGTTGTGGATACCTGACCTTGTTTATCCCACTGTTTATCCCACCTGCCCCTCCAGAAAAGTCACTGGACTGACACTAAGTTGAGAAGTTACTGTGTTTTTTAACTCAGAGGGCCATGAATCACTTGCAAAGGGCAGGTGAGATTTACAAGAAGTCCCAGTTCTAAGTTCAGGCTGCCTCCCAGGACAATACTGACGATCAGCAGTTGGTTTCACAAGCAGTTCAGTCTTCAAACCAGTCCGGAGACAGGCTAGCTCACAGAGGAGAAGATAAAACTCAAATGAGCAGACAGGAAAACGTCTGTCTGTTCAGCGTTCCAGCCTTTACTGTACGTGTGCCGTTTCCTGCATAGCTGTACTCTTAACTCACTTAGGAAATTTTGAAATTCCCATTCAGATTCCACACTGTAAGTCTTGAAAAAGTAGTGATTCTTACTGGATTATTCCTTCTGTATGCAACTTATTTATTTACTTTTATGATTTCTTTTGCCTACTGCATGAGCTTCACTCTGTTGCTGAGCATGAGTTGTAGGTTTCCAACATTAATGGAAATTAATTGCATTTTTTAAAATGTTTCCAAGGGAGGAAAAGGACTAAAATATGACCTTTGTGTCCTGGCAGACAAGCCTCTGAACCTCTCAAAAGCAAACTTTAATTACATGATTCCATTGGGAAACATTCTTCTTTACTCTAAAATATAGAAATGCCATTGTGATTCATGACTTTGATTGTAACTATACTGAATAAGAAACTATTTGTTATAATAATGTATGTAATAAGTATGAATATAGCAGTCTGCAATATTTTAAAACAAAACCACTCATCTCTTCAAATAATTGTATATTTAAAATAAAAGAGAATGCAGGGAGGTAGGTTGAAGGTGAACAGATACGCTTTTCATATTTTACTTCTGTGTTAATTTCATAAGTTAAATGAATTTGGCTTACCTGAATACCCTTCAGTCCACACAAGAAGTAGTTATGCCACTGAGGTTTGGTTTTGTTAATCTGAATGTTATTGACGCTAGTAGTGAAATCCCTGCAAAAACAGAAAAACCTTGTGGCTTTAACTTGTCAGTACCTTTAGTGTGAAAAAACATGGCTTATTACTGCCACCTGCTGATGCACAAAAGCATTTCTATGTTAATCATTCGTTTCAGTACATTTGGTTTCTCATACAGATCTTCGTTAGTCAGTTCTAAAGTGTATTTTAGTGTATTTTAATTTGGAAAATAAACTGCCTTTAGCGCCCGTAGTCAAGGCAGCATGCCTTCCATCACATTTGTATAAGCTCTCCCGAATCTCTTTGAAAAGCATAAATCTAAGTAATCGCTCCTGTCAAACCTAGAATAGAGCTAAATATTCTTCAGGCTTCCCTGGGATCCCTGCTCAGGAATTCATCTTCATTTGCTCTGAATGGCAGATCACTAAATAGGCATATTGCTGCAAAATTCTATTATGTACGTTACAGGGTTTAATTAAAATAACAGTTTATCCATTTTCAGCATTTTTTTCATCTATCTCCAGGATAATGCTGATAATGAATTTTGAAATAATTTTGAATGTGTTAAAATGGTAAAGTTGAATGTTGCTGAAGGAACCAATGCTACAGATAGGTTCTCTGGAAATGCCCATGGAGTGATGTGCCTTGGAGATACGCGCCTTAATCATCACAAAAGGCAGATTGTTTACAAGCCTATATTGCCAAACACCCAATAACTGTATCTGCCTGAAGGCAGTACAGCAAATGTCTAACAGAGAAAAAGTAAAGGCACTGAGAATGTCAGAAAAAGATTTAAAAAATTACTCAAACCTGGCAGGCTGCAATTTGTGTTCATGCTAACCTACAGTCTGATGCTAGCTGTGTATTGGCAGCGTGCAACCTACGGATCTCACACCCAGTATCAACTTAGAGTGACCACTTTGCTGCTTACACACTCCATTTCAATATTCAGTACATGATACAAAGCTGTCAGAGATTGCTGTACAGTTTAATGAGTTGCTCTTTTTCAGTCGGAACGGTTCGGAATAGTGCCACTTACAGGACTCCATCAACAGTGCAGCACTGAGGAGTTGTACAAAGAAAAGTGCAAACTGTTGGTGACTGCAGAGCAGTAAGAAAGATCTGAACAGGAGTGCTATGATTACAATACAAGTAAAGTTCAAGAGTAGCAGTAAATTCTTCCAATTTGATTTGTGTGTGTTTGGAGCAGTCTTCCTGATAATAAAACAAAATTGTTTTTCTTATGGCTTTTAAACAAAAGGAAAAGAACAAAGTACAGTAAAACATGATCGTCAAAATTCATGAACAATAAAATAATCCTATGCTTCTTTAAGCTTGTTTTACACAATGATGGTATTTTTAAAAAGCAAAGATGATGGACAACAATGTGTAGGAGTGATTAAAAGAAAATGAATTTGAAGTCCTCCTTTCCTTGAAAAAGAGTTCTAAAGTATTTTATATACATAATTATTTTTATACAATCAGACAAAGTTAAGCTTAAATGAACAAAAAGACATATACTATGGGATATAGTTGCTGGCTCTCTAGATAAATTAAAATAATGACTTCTTAAAATGCATTTTGCATATTTCTGAAATCTTCTCACACAGAAAAAGAAAGAAAAGTTGGCTTTGAATTTGGCAAGATTCACATGCACATAATTCATACAAACACAGGATGTGGAACTGGCAAGGTCCCCAGAATACTGAAGTCTATTTTTTTTTGTTATCACATTCAATTTGTTATAAAAACTCATTCCTAAATGTCCAAGCTTTATCTTAAATCAGTAAATCTTCAGTCCTGCCTTTTGTCCTCATACTGGCAGGTAGGCAGCTTGATATGAGTACTTCGAGAAAAAAAAAAAGCAAGATTTACCATTAATGTAAAAAAACCTGATATTGTTTATTCCACACCTTCTATTTTACATGAGGATCCCCTCCTCCAAGGCTAGATAGAAACATTTAATTGGTCTGCATAATGAGAAGAGATCAGTTTTTCAAATAATGTGAAAAAAATACGTGGGTGATGTGTTCTTCCTTCCTTGATTAGTAATTAATCCTTACTACTGAAGACCAATTTGGCATTTTCTCACAGACCCTCAATGTTCTGTAGATTTTTTAGTTTATCTGACCTATTAAAGAAGATTCTCAGGTCAAGCTTTCACGCTATCCTTTGATGCTATCCGTCAATATTTCTGAAGGCATTTTGTACGTGTTTTCTCGATGAAAAAAGATGCTGTGTGAAAGGAAGGTATCCAGAATTTCAAAAGTCTTTAACTTTTGAACAGCATCTTCATCTAAGTAATATTTAACAATCATTCGATCCGTTGGGATGCTTTATAACGAAATGCAAACACAACAGTGTTTTGTTTTTCCTAAAGTTAATGAAGCTATGGGAGTGGATGAGGGCTACAGAACTGTTACCAGTTCAAAAACAAGAATGAAATAGAGATTTTACAGAGCCTTATGGTTGGTCCTTTTAAGTGGAGGGTATTCACTACAGGTTTATGCCAGTGCAACAGTCTGGGGAAAAGATACACTGTCAACAATTTTGTTATATGATGTAACATTACAAGTGTTGAAAAGCATTTGTTATGAAATTATGAGCATGTTTTCACTTTGTTTTTAAGCAACAGCATCCCAACAAAATAGAGAATGCTTAATGCCATATTCTGAAACCTCTTCTTGACTTATGGTTTAAAATGTATGATTTCAAACTGAAACCAAAGCAGATACATAAAAATAGTGATTATGCAGACGATTTGCATACAAAGGCTGTAATTCTAGATCTGTTAGGAACTTTAGGTGTCGCTGAAAGCATTGGTAGCATTGCATGTGCTACAGAGCGCCATTTCAATTGTTGTGTAATGTGCCAAATGTCAAAGACCATGTAAAAACATATGCCTTTTGTTTACTGCTTTGTTTAGTATCCTTTATAACAGCTTTCCCTAATCAAAGCTATTGAGGTTCTAGAACTTTGTCTTGCAGAATGGTTTTGTAATACAGCAGGTTTCTTCTACTCAGAGGTAAAGGTCCCACTCAGTTTCCTTCCCCCTTGCTCACCGCTGCATGTTCCCACTGTTAGCCCTGAGTTAGCTTTTTGTGCTGGGTGCATTGCCATTCAACTCACTAAAATGACAGAAAATCAGCCAGGCAAAAAAAATGGGTGAGTCGTGCACTTTATCCTAAGAACAGACAAGTATTTCACCTGGTAAAAGTCAGAGGGTGTATCGATGTTGGAAGTGCAGACAAGGAAACTAGGGATAAAATAAACAAAACCAGGGCATACCCACTTGGGAGCAGCAAACCTTTAATTTAGCCCAGTCATACTGTGAAAATATACTCCACAAAGTGAGGGTAAAGTATTTGAATATTTATACGTTGTATGGAAGTGAAAATTCCTTTTAACTGCGTGACTTGCAAGCGGCAGCTCAGAACATATTTCTGTAAGATCTGAGCTTTAAGCAGGAATATATACATAACTACTTGCCACTCTTGGCACTGTGTTCCTGTCCCTGTGCTGCCATACACTGTGCTTTCAAGGAGTCATTTGCTATTGGCTTAAACCAATGAAGCTGGTGCTGATTTGATTTTTGCAAAGTGCCTGTGAAATTTCATGTAGATGAATGACCTGATCTGAACTATCGAGCAACCACACAAATATCAGTTCATTTACAAAGAAGGAGGTGGGAAAAAAGCAGCTAGATCTGAATGGAATGGCAGGAATATTTCCATACGTTCAGTACTTGTGAGCACATATCTAGAACACTCTCTCCAGTTTGGGGGCTTCCCAATAACAGAAAAACATTGACAAACTGTAGAGAGTCCAGCATAAGGTCGCCATGATGGTTACAAAGGTACTGTAGCACATCACTTATAAAAAGAGGTGAGGACAGCTGGTTTTATTCTGCAAAAGAAAATTATACGGGATAATCTAATGTGTCTTTGCCCACTCATCGCATGGCTCCACTGAAGATATAACCAAACCCTTCTCAGACATATATGGAGACATGATGCATAACAAACTGCAGCAAGAAAAAAATACAATTAGACATGAAAAAAATACTCTTCACAACAAGGACATCCAAACTGGAAAACTGGTTGCTCAAAGAGGTTATGAAGTTTCTACCTAAGGAGATTTTCAGAACTTATCATTAACAGCGCCCTGAACAACCTGCTGTAACTTTTTAGTCAACCACAGACTGGACCAGATGATCTCCAAAGGGCCCATAAGAACCTAAATTATTCAATGATTCTGTGTACAAGCAGCTGTGGAGGAAATAGAAGAAGGAATAGAGTGTCTTTATCCAGGATCATTGCTAAAGCCCTCGTGTTGTGAAAATACTGCCCCCGGTTCTCCAGAGCAAGGGAGTGTTAGCTTATATATGCAGTAATTGATTACAAAACATTTCACTCCCTTCCCCAGGAGAAACTGAACTGCTGCCAGTAGAGAAGGTTACATAAAGAATGATGAGCTAATAGAGGAGAGGGTTGCACTTCCAGAGTGATTGAAAATGAGTGGGAGACAGAGGCATTGAACTTATTGCTCTAAACTAATATATACAGCGTTGATCAAATTGGATTCCATTTGATTGTATCATTCCATGTACACAATTAAACTCCATACTGCAATCTAAGTTTGTCAAAACTCTGAAAAGTTAACCTATGATACACTTGCATAAAGAGGTTCATAAGAAATAGTGAATAAACAAAGCAATTACTTACAAGTACGAAGAATTTATATTGGCCAATTGCACAACTTCAGTCTTTACAGGTTCTACTGCAATCAAAATATCTTGTTCTATAGCCATAGGGAGCACGGCATAACCACAGTAGTCTATATGTTCTCCTACCAAAGAGACAGAGAATTAAAGAGATTTTTGCATAAGTCATCCTAGAGTAAGAGAAACAGGGCTTGTGTAGACTTCAGTGTTGTTTACTATATTAGACAACTTCTGAGTATAGTCCCAATTCTTACTATTTAAAGTACATCTGATAGTTTGGGGTATGTTTCCTCCATTTTGTATTTCCACACAAAGTCTTTGCTCTTTAGTGACTTTATCTATTGCATCTATTTACAAATCTTCACTTTTAACATTGGGTTATGAAAATTAAAGACCTCTACAAGTACTATTTTTCAGAATGAGAACAACTATATTATTTGTATACTTTTGTGTCAGTATGAAAAAATAATTCTAATTGGTGACATTTAACTGATGACTGGAAGAGATAAAGGCAGTATGTGACTTCCCAGTATGAGCTTTGCTCTGCACGTGTGGCAGATTCACTGGCTGCTGGATAAAGCTAGTGGAGGCCTTTCCTTCCATAAAATTTCTGAACTTTTCTGAACCAAGAAAATTATAGTTACGTTTAAATAATAACTAACACACATATATATAACACACCAGGTAGCATTCAGACATGAAATGCAAGTAGTGAACACACGTCTTTATGAATAAGACAGCTAACACATGCTGTTTAGATGTACGCAGAACACCAAGGTAAAAACTATCATTAGTTGCACAAAAGTCTAATTATAATTTTAAAGCTCTGTTTTCTGGAGTTCTTTAACTTACAAAGTCTTCAAATGCATATGGTTACTCTATAAATATACAAGAAACTGAGCTCTAGGAAAAGCAAAAACCTAACACAGATAGAAAAATTTAAAGAAAATAATGCTGCCATAGAAACAAAGGTAAGTTTTAGATTAATAATAATAGTGTCTCCCCAGGCAGCCAGTGAATCACAATCTGCTGTTTAGTGGATACGTCTCTATGGCTGAGTGAAAAAGAGATCATGGCAGAATCATTTCATGCCTTATCAGATGCATTGCTGTTTGGCTGGTTATATGTGGTAACTGAAGTCACTTAAGCAACTTATGTAGGAAAAAAAACAACAAAAACATTATTTTAAATTACATGTTTTAAGTTGCAATGTTTTTGTGATAGCAGATAAAGTAACAAAAGATTAATATTGCTCTTTTACCTATTAAGTTGACTCTCCCTGGTGCACGAACATAAAACTTGGGAGCTGATCCAAATTTTGCTATAAAACTCTCCTTCAGCTTCAGCAATCTGAAAGGCAAGTTGGAAACCTTCAGAGGGACAATAGTTGGATAAAAGGAAGTCTACAGCCTAAATTGTGTTCTCAAGTAAATTTGATTCAACTTTTTGAAGTACATGGAGTTTTTTCTGTTATATCAGTAGCAACATTAAGTTGTGTATTCCTGCTCTTCACCTGACATTGTGACAGAGATGACTTAGAAAACAACATCCGAATTAGTAAGAAATTTGTTCGAAAATGATGGGAGGAGCTTTACTTTCATTTAGTCCTGTCTAGCTTGTCTCTAGCCAAAGACAGTGTAGGTTGTTGCTTGTGGCAGCCAAATATGGCCTTCACCTAATTTTCCTATGCCACAGCTCTCTAAAACTATTTTACAGCAGTCTGGCAATGTGGATTGATGGCTCATACGTGGCATCAGGGCTTGTCACAAGAACAAACACAGAGGCACTCCCTGAAGAGATGGATCTGATCACACCAGGTCTCAGCAAGATTTTCTTCTACATTTTGACTTTTTCAAACTTCATAAAGACTCTGCACCATTTCAGTACCAATACATCTATGCAGAACTCAAATTCCAAGCCTGTGATTATCCCTGTGCCTCATTCAGACAGTATGGCAGCAACAGAAGGTTCTTAAGATTGTCCACTTAGAAGTTCTGGATGCATAAAAATTCCAGAACACAGAAAGACTTGAAATATTGTTGTTTTTCAAGAGACTGTAAAGATATTTAACTGCCACTGAGTGCTTGCAAACTTGGGATGCTTCCATGTGTCATGCAGAAATAGTGAGTAAAAAGAGACAAAGATGAAATTAAGCCATTATCTCACTGAGGCATAAGTGATTTGATGTTGTGATGCACTTCAAAACTACCTTAATGCAATTTAGTTTACACACTGACTCATTAACTTTCATTAATGTGAGCTAGACACTAAAATGATAAAGCAGTAAGAAGAAAACTAATCATTAGAACAGGTCTTGCCCTACCAACTTTAAAGCACATAGCATTTATTTAGTTTTTTTGTGTACTAACAAAACCATTCCATTAACAGGAACGTTCCACATTCAGATTAAAACTAGAATTGGATGCCTGATCAATGCAAAGCTAAGTAAGAAGACAGCAATGAAACACAGATGTTACAAAATTTCACAGTCAGTTATTTAGTTTGTACTTGTTTGTCAAAGCTGTGTTATTGTCCCAGTATGTATGTTCCAATGTTTTGTAAGATTTCTCTGGGTGGAAAGCTACAGAACAGTATTTGCTGTGAACTTTCAAATAGATCTTTCTGCACTTTTCTGCCTTGGAGCTCAGCAACAAAACTGTGTTCCCTCTTTGATTTGCTTACGATCTTCCCTAACATTGACTAGTTTATCACTTCCAAGTAACAGATGCAACTTCTGCCGTTTCACTGTACAATCCCTTTTTCTAAAACATAGAATCACAGAATTGTAGGGGTTGGAAGGGACCTCCAGAGATCATCGAGTCCAACCCCCAATCACACGAATGATAACGCTGTAGTCCATGGTAAAATAGATCAGTTGGCAGAATCCGAGATGTTAATGTTTTTCTGTCAGCACGCTTGTTTCACAGATACGTGCACAGTGGTGTTAGCACCAAGCAGAACAGCCACAGGGGCACGCTGATCCGAGTGCTGACTGATCTTGGTTTTTTAATGTGGGTTTACAACCCCTCACGAAGGGCCATTCCCGGGTTTCGGCCTCGTTGCAACACACGTGCTGCAACGTAAGCACCTACATCAGAAGAAGCAAACGCATCCCTCACAGCTTCACACGTTCGACTCAGGAAATGCCGAACTGCCTTCCACGTGATTCAAATCCCGACAAGTGTCAGAACGGCGATTTCCTGCCTGCAGCAGCAGCATGGCCGGACATAACGGGCAGCCAGCGCTAAAAGGCCTCACGTGGCCGCAGCCCCGGGGCTCCGCGCGGCCCGCCACCGCCCGCCGATGGCCGCGCGGCCCGGCTGCCCCTAGGCTCCGCCGCGCCGAGGCTGATGACACAACCGGCCGCGCCCCGCTCTCCCCTCGCGCGGCCGCCCGCCAGCCCGTCACGGACGCGGCCTCGCGCTGAGGGCGGGAGAGGGGCGGCCGCCCGGCCGGCACCCACCTGGGCTGCTCCACCAGCTGCACCGGGACGGTACCGGGGGCGTCTGCCGCCATGGCGACCCCTCCCCGGAGCCCCGCGCGGAGGCGGGCGGGCGGTCGCCGCGGCGGTCACGAGACGGGCGGACGCCGTCCTTCCGGGTGGCAGAGCCGCCGGCCCGGCCTCCTCCGCTCCCGGCGCGCGGCCCCCGCTGCGCGGGAGGGGCGCGCGTGGCCTCGTTCCGTCAGAGCTCGGCTGGCAGCGAGAAGCGTTACGAGCCGGGCCCAGCGCGCCACGAGCCAAGCGAACGGGTCCGCCGCCGGGATTCCGGCGCGCGTAACGGAACACCGCCCGAGAGCGCAGCGCTTCTCCGCGACGTCGTTTTTTCTGTCTCGGTTGCGAGGCGCGGTTGTGCCGCTCGCCTCGGCCGGGCCGCTTCCCCTCGGCAGCGGTTACCCCAGGGGCAGCGCTGTCCGATGTGCCTGCGGGCGCGGCCCGCTGCCGTCACGGCACTCGCACAAACAGCGGCAACCGCCGCGACGGCACCTCAGGAAGGTTTAAATGCTCGGGCTGAGGAAAGACGCACCGCCACCCGCGTCACGCTCTGAAGTCGCAGGTTAGCGCGCCTTGCTGAGGCGGTTTTTTACCTCAGGTCAGCAAGGATCAGAGAGTTAGAAGGCAGATTTTAAAGGACAAGCGGCCCAAACAAAAACACGCGAAAACAACACAGAACGGCCAACGTCCCCAGCGGCAATCCGCAGCGCAAACGGCCGGGCTCTGCGGCACCGCACAGACTCGGCAGCACCGCGTTCGCCCCTCGGTTTCCCTCACACTAGCAGTTACACTGTAATGTTCCCGCGAGCCCGGCGGCTCCGCAACCCTGAGGCTCTTTTTCCTTTTTCCCTTCGGTTTGGGCTTTTCAAACCCGGTGCCGCGGCATCCGCCCTCACACCCGGCAGGGCAACACCGGCCCCGCCCGCCGCCCGCGGTTGCCACGGCCGCTCGCTCACACGCACGGGAAGCCGGGCGGCACCCGCCGCGTTCCGGCCGCCCCCGCGCGACGGCGGGTGCCGGGCGGAGCGGAGCCGCATTGGGCGGCGCCGCGCGGGGTTGTGGGAGAAGGGGCCGGCCGCTTCCCTCCCCCCGCCCGTCCTCCGGCCAAGATGTCTGACATGGAGGATGATTTCATGTGCGACGATGAGGAGGACTACGACCTGGTGAGGGCGGGACGCGGGGAGCGGAGGGCGCGGCGCAGGGACCTCGCGGGCTCAGCGGCCTCGGGCGCTGCCCCGCGCCGGCAGGAGGGGCTGCGCTCTCCGGGGAGGCCGCGGGCCGCCGGGCCCCGCGCTCCGCTCCGGCTCGGCGAGTACGGGCCGCTGCTCGGCGGGCGGCGGGGCTGACCGCGCGGGGCCTGGCCCCGGTGCTCGCTTCGGTGTCTGCCTGCGGAATTGCGCGGCTTGAGCGCGGCGCACGGCGGCCCCAGAGCGCCGGGGTGCGCCCGTCCTGAACTTGTTGTGTCTGCTTTGACGCCGAGCCGCTCGCTCCTCTAATTGCAGAGAGCCCGATTGGTTGTGTGGCGTTTTGACATCAGGTCTCATGCTAAGCTTTTACGGTTGAAAAGGAAATAACAGTAGAAGGCCGCTCGCGGTTAGCGACAGACAGACCGATTTATCCAGAAAAAAAAAATAAAATGGGAATGTGATGGGATTTATACTAAAGGTTCTCCCTTACTTAAAGCACTTTTTTGCTATGGGGAAACAAAAACAAAACAAAAAAGACCCTCAGACATTGTGAGAAGGTTAATAAACTAAATGTCACTCAAAACAAAATATGTTCTGGGCTCTCTGGTCATTTACAGTTGTTGCCATCATTGCATATTGGGGCTTGAGGTTCAGCTGTTTCTCTTCTGGTTTTCATTTGGGTCGTTGTGTTTGTTTGTTTTGCTTTTCTGAACTTTGCATGGCTTTTTAGAATTGAGACATTCTCCAAAAGCTCTGCAGCAGAGGACTGCAAATCAATATGTCATTTACTTCAGTTAAACCTGTATTTACAGCAGTGCAGTTTCATTGAAAACACCAGGCCTCTGCTTATGGGAGAGTTTGTGGTTAAATTTGCAGACTGATTTAAAATTGTGTTTATTTTCTCATGCAATGCTGTCAAATGAACAAAAAACAGAGTTTGGGTCGACTATACGTAACATGAGAACTGGATGTGTAGAGAAACCATTGGAGGTACACTTTGCAGTTTCTAAATGCAGCCATCCGCTGTTTTTGAGTAAGTAGTGCAGCTCTGTGCTCACAACGTGTTACGTCAAGTTTTTCCCGAGGATAGTTGCTGGTTTGATGCTTTTTCTCATGTTAAGTGTTTTTTTCATTATTGGAAAAACTTCTTGCTTGTGGCAAATGTCAGCCCTTTCCTGCAGCTAATTTTCGCACAACATTTCTGCTGTCATTAATTGGCTCTACTCTGGAATTTACAGGTAGTTCAGAATATATCTACTTCTTTTCAGTGCATAACTCTCAGGTAAAATGTCAAAGAATACTTAAGCTGCATCTTTAAATAAAACTTTTTTTTTTTTTTTTTTTTTTTCCATTTTGTTTGGATTTGTAACAGATGAAGGAAAGAAAACCCAGAATAATTTAAGAATAAAGATACTTCAGCTGAACTAGTTTCTGTTCTCACATTAACAAACTGTGACTGGATGTTGTTTTCGGACATGCTTGAGACTGTAATTGCAGCATCCAACAAAACTGTTTTGGAAAATGGTTGAGTAAACCTCTTATGAAGACAGGGATTCGTTTCTTCTTTCATGGTGATATGAATAATGAACAGAGGGCTGTGTGAGGGTACATAGCTCTCATTTCAGAGTATGTGATGCTGCAGGAAGTTTGGAAACAGAAGAGCACAGTACAGGGCAATGTACAGAATAGCACAGAATTGAAAACAAAGGAGCACAGCTGAGTGTTAGTATTTTGTTACCAGTAGGGAGAGAGAGGCAGGAATTGAGGAGAATTATTGGTAAGAGGAACACACAGCTACGTTGTCACAATGCAGTACATCAGATGTCCAAGGAGGGAAAAAAAGCCCTAAAAAGTTTTGATTTTGTCAGAGGTGGTTATGACTGTTCCTCTTTAAATGTGCTCTGACCTGACTGTGTAGAAACAGTCAGTTATGTTTCCTGAAGGATGCAAATGTTTTGTACTCGAACTGAAAAAAATGTGAACTGATATTCTGAAGGCTGAGCTCGTTCCCAACTTCATCGTAGGTTTTGCCTAATCAGAGCAGTTGCTGCACTGCCGAACAACTGAAGGCTGTCCTATTACATGACAATAACAGTACGTTACTATTATTTCTGCTTAGTTTTCTGCTGAGTTAAAAGTGAACTTTTTTCCTATAAGTGACCTTACACAGTCATAGAAGTTAACTTTATCTGCTGGCAATCTGCAGATCAGCAAAAAAAAAAAAAAAAATTATTTATGGGTGGATGAAGCTAGATTCAGAATTTGCTAATAGTGTACGCTGACAGCTTTGATTATAACACGGATTATTGCACTTTATGCTTCAATAAACAGGATAATGTTTTCTGGTTGTTAGGAAAACCACTGAATTTTAATTGTTTGTTTGGGGCTTTACATGATTTCAGCCCAAGTTCATTCTACTTGTTTCAGCTGAAGGGTGGAGAGAGAAGGAAGGACCATTGTAACCACCGTTCCTGTTCTCAGCCCCTGACAGCAAGCTGTGCTTAGAATTGACTTTGATGCTGAACTCAGCCTTCCTCTAGAAACTGATAATTCCAGGCACAATGACAGCACATTGACAGTTACTGTAATCCCTCTTTAATTTTGTTTTGCTTTAAATGCAAAGAAGGATTTGCCTGTCATGCTGTTAATAAGACATCGTATTGTGTGCTGAAATTCAATTTAAAAATTAATCAGGGGAAGGTAGCCAAATCTGTTTGCTGGGCAACTTTGTGTGTTTATGTTTGTTGTTGTATTATTTCAGTGACTTCAGCAGAAGAGCTCTGTACAGTTTGCATGAAGAGCTGTCTGTTCTCGTTCCAGGGAAGTTGTTACAGATTCATGACTTGCAGATTCCCTTTTCAGACTGTGGCAATATTAAGAAATTTGCAGTTGTACGTTTTATTTCAGGCTGTCAGACAGGTAGTAAGCTTGAATTGGCTCACTCTTTCTTTTTAGCTCTAGGAAGCATAAACCCATTTCAGAAGAAATTTCTATATGCTATCAAACTTTATAAGCACTCTCATCAGCAGATGGAAAATATCCTGCCTTACTTTGATGTATTTTTAATAGATAGAGTTGAAATTTTGAGTGGATTGTCACCTCTTCCCAGTGCTTGTGTTTCAGTATTTCCGTCACTGAAAAAACTACGTGTGTTAGTTATAATGCAAACAAGAGGCAGCAAAACCTAACTTGCATAGCTAGGGAAATACCAAATTGGGCAGGTCCTGTTTATACTCTTCTGTTTCTTTGTTATATTTAATTACATTAATATGTGATTTTAAAAAAGCATTCTGTGCATTTCACAAACGACATGGGATTCACTGTTCTTTGAATTCATTACCATTTCATATTTCACATGGATTCAGTGTGTGTGCTGATGTTCCATTTTATGCATTCTCTTTAGATTCACTCATAAGCACAGAATCAATATATTTAGGGCTTTTTTTTTTCTCATCCCTATGATGTCTTATACGAAAGTATTGAGGCAAAGAGGATGAGAATAACTAGTGAGTAAATTTTTTCTTTGTGAATCGTGGTAACCTTGATGTAAGTTCTGATTATTATTATGGTGACTATTTTAGAGAAAGTATTTAGCACTTTGCTGAGAAGTGAGCTCCCCAGGACCTGAGGGGCAGTTCTGTGTTAAACATAAGTAAGTTAGCTGCCAGGCTCCTAGAAAAGGATGCCCAGAATTAGAGGAGAGCTGTGCGGTAGCTGTAGGAAAAAAGGCACTTATTTCAGATACTGCTTACGTGTCATAATGCCATTTTTTCTTTCTGAAGTCTCCTGTCTCATTTCTGTGCATCTCTCAAGCTCTGCTTGAAAAGATAACACAAAGGCAGAAGCAGTCGCTCAGTAGAGCTGTACTGACCCTATTGCAAATGACTGGCTGCACAGCCTAATCGTTCCTGGTGTCAGTAA